TTGGTTTAATGATCTGTAAGACATGGCTGAGTTGTCTTGCACGTGCTTATTGGATAGGGATATCGCTAATGTGGTATTTCCATTGCACCAAAGACTTTCTTGTCACATACACTCCCTTTTGGGACTCAACTTCTTTGTGGAGTTTACCCCACTACCTTTTTAGGGTGTCACATTCACCTTCTTTCAGAATTCAACATTTTTATCGAGATTTTCCCTACCACTATTTTAGAGGTTATGCAAAGCAGTTTTGATACCATTTGTAATTATTCAATCCGCTAGTGATATTGTTTGCTTTGACCTTTTGGCCTCACAATCTTAAAACACATCAATATGAATTAATTGGTATTGACTTATATACTAAGCATATTTCTCATGCCTTTATCATTGTGGAATTTGCTTAGAGGTGTCATATGATTCAACTCCCCAATTCCACATCTTAAGAATAGTGAATGAACCGTGAGTGGTATAAAGTGTGGAAACCAACTATTATTAATGACTTAAACTTAAATTTTTGTAAGCTTATAAATCTTAACTCGAAAAATTGTTAATATAGTGTTCAATTTTGACCCAAATAGTTTAGGGTAATAAGTCAAGTTGGAGGGTCATGATAGCAGTATGTGCACGATTGGGTTTCGGTTAAAAACACTACAAAAAAATTGTCTTTTGTGACACTTGATTTCCAACATTGGGTTGTTGTGTCGAGATGTTTCAAGCATAACTTTGGTAATTGCAACACTAAAATCCAGAATTGTAAAAAATTTCAGCACTAATACTACTTTACTAGCGCTTTAGTCAATGCAGAAATAGCATTTGCAACACACTCTGTTATAATAGTTTGCTCTAAAAAGGCCATCTTTTAACATCGCAATTGATTTTTTTCCCTTTTTCTTTTTTCTTTTTTCTTTTTTTTTCTGTGGTGCAAACACATCTCAGCGCCATGGACATTTTTAAAACCTTAATAAAGCCAGCTTGGATCCCGCTGCTTTGACTTATAATTTGAAAAAAAAAAAAAAAAGGGTCATTTGAAAGTTAGTTAACTAATTTAACTTTGGGCTCTGCCTTTTTTTTTTTATCCTCCTTCCCCACAACGCCTTTCTCAGTTCCCCTGTAGTCCTTTTCCCGACCCCTCTCTGGTGCTCTTAGGTAACTTCCTCTAAATCTGGGTTCAAGAAATTAGGATTTTGTTGCCCTTTGTGTTTGATACACAAATTCTATCTTTTATTCATTCAATCTTCAAGTCCGTGTTTAGGGTTTTGATTTTTCTGCAATAAATCAGATATTCGGCGTATACCCTCTTTCTAATTGGGAGAAACTTCTCTTGTTGTCTCTTGGGCGCCCTTAGTCATTGCAATTCCTCTTGTTCTTGGTTCAAAAAATCTAGTCTTCGATTTTAAAATTTTTGGGTTTCTGTACTTATAGAATGTTTATGAAATATTTTTGCTTTTTATGTTCATTACTGTCTAATTTATCAATTAAACTGCTACTTAGAGTTTTTTGAAGTGTCTTTTTTTCATAGAAAAAAGAAAGAAAGAAAATATTGGACAGTATCTATTGTTGAAATTGTCCTATTAATTGATTCTGAAATTGGGATTGATATTCTAGTATCGTGTTCATATTTTTCAAAATTTCCCCTTTGTCTAGAACTAGTTTTATATGGTTGAATAGTTCATCATTGGCATATTGCTGATTAAAAGATAATGCAAGTCAGCATCATTTTTACTTGAGTTCTTGATTAAAATTGAGGTATAAGAAGTGATTACTTTAACTTATCTTTTTTGTTTTATTTTTTTTTTTTTTGAGTGATGCTTTTATTCTATTTTTGATAATTAAGTGCAAGTTTGGTCTTCTAATTTCAACTGACCTTTTTTTTTTCCCAAAATTATACGTTGGAGTAGGTCTATTAAATTGTATGAAAATAGAATTGCTACTTATGAGGAATAGCGCTAGCATGTAAAAATGTCCAACGCGGCACCAACATCTACTTGTTTGATAGAGTCCAACCGTGCATGTACCTCATGTGATCCTCTTACGTTAAATAGTCTTATTACTCTAAATTCAAAATATTAAAGGGTAAAAACTCATAAATTGTAAGCTGAGGGGCAAAAACCTTCAAATTCAAAAAGGTCAAGGGCAAAGCAGGGATTTTTGCCCGCTTTGGTTTAGCAAAGGCTTGGAATGAACGATGGTGGCATAGTTAGGTTTTGGCCTCTGGAATCTCACATCGCTCGGGTGTTTTCTTGTGGTTGTGGGCTTATTTGGATTGGACTTAAGTGGGCTTGATAAAAACATCAAGTGTTTTATCAAGGGAGATTGTAATGACCTAATCTCACGTTAAAAGAAAATTACAATGGCAAGTGATATATAATTGTGGAGATTAATAACTATTAATAGTTTCAACTTAAAAGTCCAACATGGATCATTACAAGAATAATGTATAATTGCATATCAATTTCATCTTTCTGGGAATCCCAATTCAAAAATATCATCCTCTAATCAATATTGAAAATTGATAGTTAAATATATCAAACTAGTTTATTAATTATATAAAATTCAACACAATTAAATCTTTAAACAATTAAAAAATTGAGACCACTAAAATACTAAAAAATGCAAACTTAATAGTTACATTAAACTTAATTAATTAGATTAAAATACCTTAAATTTATTATTTTTTAAATATTCAACATTGATTACCAATTTACGAGGATGGTGGTTTCTCTACTATGCCTTGGACATTTCCAAGTATGTATTAGTACTGGCTGGAAACTACAATAAAATAAAATAAAATAAAACACTGCTCATGCTTCACTCTCCTTAATTTCGATATTTATTGCCAATCTCCCACCCACAAACCCAATTCCATTTGTAGCAGTTTTTTAGTTGTAACTTTCACTTAATAATATCATTTACTTTATTTTCTAATATAATTTGTGCAAGATATGCGTAAGATATAAAGGAGATGTAAGAGGAAATGGATATATTTATGTAAACAAGAAATTATAAGCATGTAGTAGTACTATCACATTATCAAATTATTTGAATGTAACCATAAAAGCATCAATATTATTGACGTAAAAAATATTTGTCACAAAAAATTTTTTTAGCATCAACTAGAAAGCATTAGTGTAAATATTTTAGGCACAAGTAGAGCCAAAAGTCTAACATACCAACGCAATGTGATCAATGTTTTAAAAAGTAATTATAATTGTATGAAATTAATGTGTGGATAAAAATATATAGTTCATTACTATTTATGTAAAAAATTGCGTTGATGCAAATAGATTATTTTATCTTCAAAACATATTTAACTTTTATTTTTCCCAAGCTTTTCATTTCTCCTCCTCTTTTTAATTGTCATATATTCATTATATAAAATTATTTAGTTAAATTTGTTTTAGAAGTCAAATTAAAATAACTAAATTTGATTGAAGAGAGTATTTCTCTTGTCATTTTCTACTTTATTGATCCATTGGGTACTTTAGCCTTTCGTTGATGATTGGTAAGGTGCTTTAGGTGACAATTAGGAACTTGGAAGATTAGAAAATGGACGCACCATAAAAGATGAGAAAAAAATTGAATTATGATGTTTAAATTATTACCTTGTTTGTTTTCAACAACTGTTTCTTTGATGGGCTGAAGTATCTTCAAACATTTAATCTTTATTTAAACTTATTTAATTTATATTTAATCTAAAAATCTTTATATATATTGAGTATTATATATTAATTTGTGACGAAAAAAAGAAAATTTATGAAATATAGTATATTAATTAGTAGCTTAAAAATTTCTGCTCCCGTTCCTCATGAATTAGCTTAGTTGGTGAAATTCAACTTCATTGACAGTCTACTTTTAGATTCGAGTCTTGTAATAAGTAAGAGGAGTGCTAGGAGCACTCGCTCCAACACTCTCCCTTCAGCACCCTCTCCCTTGTTTTGCCACGTCACTTATACATTTAAATAGTTGATGGGCAACCTGTTTACACTTTTGGCCTCAACCACATCAGTACTTCAGTAGT